CCAAATCCCCCCCTGACCCCGTTTTTTTTGGCAGCTGCGGGCGGAGCCCAAACCCAGCGCCCCCAAAAGGCCCAAATTGGGGGAGGGTCCCGAGGGGCTCCCCCTGCACCGCAAAGGGGAACCCGCGGCCAACAGCGACACCTGCGCCGCCGCCCTGGCAGGTAGGGCCCCGAAAACGCCCAAAATCAACCCAAAAACCGCCTGGGGACCCCGGGGATGAACTTGGGACCCCCAAAACCCCCAAAAACCAACCCAAAAACCTCCAAAATCAACCCAAAAACTGCCTGGGGACCCCCAAAAATCCCCAAAATCACCCCAAAAACCCCCAAAATACCCCAAAATCAACCCAAAAACCACCTGGGGAGCCCCAAAAACTCCCAAAATTACCCCAAAACCCCCGAAATACCCCAAAAAAACCCAAAATCAACCCAAAATACCCCAAAATCAACCCAAAAACCACCTGGGGAGCCCCAAAAACTCCCAAAATCACCCCAAAACCCCCAAAATACCCCAAAAAAACCCAAAATCAACCCAAAATACCCCAAAATCAATCCAAAATGCCCCAAAAATCCCCAAAATCAACCCAAAAACCCCCAAAAATACCAAAAAAAAAACCAAAATCACCCCAAAAACCGCCTGGGGACCCCGGGGATGACCTCGGGACCCCCAAAACCCCCAAAATCACCCAAAAATCCCCAAAATACCCCAAAATCAACCCAAAAACCACCTGGGGACCCCCGAAAACTCCCAAAATCACCCCAAAACCCCCCAAAATACCCCAAAAAAACCCAAAATCAACCCAAAATACCCCAAAATCAATCCAAAATGCCCCAAAATCAACCCAAAACCCCCCAAAATAAATCCAAAATACCCCAAAAACCCCCAAAATCACCCCAAAAACCGCCTGGGGACACCAGGAATGAACTCGGGACCCCCAAAATTCCTCAAAATTCCCCAAAATCTTCCCAAAATTCTCCCGAATTTCCCTAAAATTCCCTAAAATTTCCCAAAATCTTCCCCAGGAATCCCAAAATTCAGAAAAAATTCTCCAAAAATTCCCAAAAATTGACCAAAATTCCCCCAAATCCTCCCCAAATTCCCCAAAATCGACCAAAATTCCCAAAAATTCCCTTCCAAATCCCCCAAATTCCTCCTGGGCGGGCTCGGGAATTGGGGGAGGGGTCCCCAAAATCGAGACCCCTCCCCCAATTCTTTGGGATTCCCCTCCCCCCCCCCAGCCCTGCGCAGGATTCTCCTCACGGGGGGACCCCTCATCAAGGAGGAGACGCATCGGGTGAGCCAACGGAATTCCCGGAATTCCGGGAATTTTCGGGAATTTTCGGGAATTTTGGGGATTTTTTTTGGGGTTTTTGGGGAATTTTTTGGGGATTTTTCGGGAATTTTTTTGGGATTTTTGGGGGATTTTTGGGGATTTTTGGGGATTTTGGGGGAATTTTTGGGGAATTTTTTTAGGGAATTTTGGGGATTTTTGGGGAATTTTGGGGATTGTTGGGGAATTTTTGGGGATTTTTGGGGGATTTTTGGGGAATTTTTGAGAATTTTTTTGGGAATTTTTGGGGATTTTTGGGGGATTTTTGGGGAATTTTTGGGGAATTTTTTTGGGATTTTTGGG